AACCATAGCACTAATCTAAATATGTTAAGAAGCCTAAAGAACTGAAGTCACAAAGGGCAATTGAGGCTAATGTGGTCTAGCAGGGCAGCTAAAACCTGAATTTGAGAAATCCTGAAAAACACACTATATAGTCATAGAAAATATTCTGAATAAAAACGTAAGCCTGAATCCAAATGCATAAAACATTTTCACTCTAGTTTATTAGCATTCTCTTGTACAACTTTACATTAGTAGACAGTCGAATAGTAACAAAAATAAACATAAAAGGCAGATAAATCGTTTAGTGCAATGAAAATAAATGAACACCGCTGAGTGCAGATACGTGCTGCATTACAATGCTCAACAACTAAGCTCTTAGGAGCATAAGAGCATCCTCGGACATGTGCCAGGTCACCTTCATTTCAGTCAGCTTGCAGATCCCTTACCAGCTGAATGAGAGGCTCAATACAAGGCCAATAAACCAATCAAACACAGCACAGCACTGGAGCATCAAGCCTTCAGCTTCACATAGAAAAAAAAAAAAGCATCAAATAAAATCACTTTGATGAGTTTCACCCAATTAAGAAGTTTTTAGAGGACTACCAGTTCTGTGTCCCGGTAGGGGACGAGAACTCAAGGCTGATATTTGAAACAAGAACTGTGGGTTTTCAAATGACTGACAATAAACGAAACCTTATTAAAATAAAATCTCCTATTTAAGGATGTGATTTTAATGCCAATGACTGGACCAATCTGGTACCCTGGACTAATTCTACACTCAAATCACTTTACAAAGGAGGATCTGCTCAAATCAAGCAAAAATCACGTATAAATCTAAAATATTAGACAGAATTAATATGAAGGCCCAGGCACTTCTCTAAAAGGAGCACCCTTCCAAACAAACTGTGTAAAAGCAACTATCAAATCAAAGTGATTTTACAAAACTAATGCAGTCAGTACAAGCCAGGTCTGCTATACTGCTAATAAGAAGACAACAATATCCACTTCATTTTACTTATTCCACCTCTGATATTTACTGTTACTAGGCATTTGGTGAATGACCATATTGTGGGAACTATTAGGATATGACAATCTTCTCTACAATTTTTTTTTTTTTTACATGAACTAGTTATTTGGGTACACAAAACACAAACTCATTTTCAGGTGCGTGTGTGTGTGTGCAAGCATTAAATAACTTAAACGTTATCACTCAGCTACTCTTATACTATTTTCCTGGGTGATGAAAGCTATATTCTATTGCGAGGGCATATTCTCAAATATATGTTTAGGCAAACAAAAATTTCAAGTAAGCTACAATGTATTTACTTCTGTAAGACCAGTTTCATTTAAGCAAGTCATGGGTAACAGCTGCTGATGTGTTAAAGATACTCGGTCCTTAAGAGAAGATACCTTTATACGCTTACTGAAAGGGTTAAACATAACTAATGAAATACTAAATAATGAAATGGTGACCCTTAAAGTGCCTGCGTGTCATGTTTCTATACAGTTACTTACCTTAAAATTAACAAACAGTAAATTTTACAAAGCGAGAATTCAGGAATTCCCTATTTGGTCCAGGTATCAAATAGATAACAAACGGTTTGTGACTGCGCACACACTCAACTACACACACATTCACTCAGGCGCTCGTAATTGGCAGCAGTTTCAAATGTAGTGAGTCTGCCAAGTTTTCTGCAAATCCCTGTGAGGATAATGCCTTTAGATTATCCTAATACTAAATATAAATAAGCTTTCGTGATGACCATCAATAATGCTTCTTATACATAGTCTCTTCATTATATTCTTCATTTCAGAACAACAGCAGCATTTACATTGGTGCCTATTCGGGAATTACAAAGCAAAAAGGCCTGACAAACCCTACACAGAGTAGAAAGACATCCTCGAAGACGAAAGAGACTGACTTTAGAGAGTGCACCCAGACAGTGTTGCCGACTCCGCGGTTTGTGGTTTAAACCATTAAAGGGTTCTTGATAGCAGACCCACCAGCTTGATTTAGTAGAGGACAGAATACATGGAGTGTTGGTGTAAAAGAAAAGCAGTTCAAGGAAATAAGTCTAGCTTGGGGGCCCACTCAAGAGCAGTATTGACCACAGCAAGAGCTGCTGCCCCTAAAGCCACTGTGAGACCCATGACTGCAAGTCGAACAAACCGCCGTGCTGCTGAAGGTCGGGCCACTGCAACTACAGAGCTCACTCCTGAGCTCTCCAGTGCAGCCTGCTTTTGTCTGCGTCTGCGACGGAGAACTGAGTCTGGTCGTTGCTGCGCAGATGCAAGTTCAAAGTCCTTAAAGGTAGAGCTTGCCATGCTTAAAGAGACAGATACATGTAGAGAGACAGAAAAAGGTTTTATTGAAAGTGAGTAACTGCAGTTTTTGAAGTAGAAGAAACTAAAATGTGAGTATTAGTATATAAGAAAAATCAGTGATGACAGTTTCATACCACTAAAATAACTGTAAGAACTTACCTTTCATGTGAAGCAGCCTCTCTAGCCAGTTCAGAGGGGGGAAACTGTACAAAGAGGTCTCCTGCTCGGCTGATGAGCGTCTCATAGGGTAGATCCTGGGGAATCTGGGATAGCAGGTGATGAACCATGGCCATATCACATTCACACTCCAATACCTCCTCCTCTCTGTACAGCACGATCTACAACATAAATACAGTTTGCATACCAATATAAACATAGAGATGTAAACAGCATATTTGTCAAGGAAAACAATGATACATTCATACAGAAATAAGAAGCCATTCCCATTAGAGATGTAATCATTTAAAATAACACACCCGACTAAATTAAACTAAATAGGGGCAACTTAAAAAGAAGAACTGATCTGACATCACTGCATTGATCTAATAATAATAATAATACTACTAATAAAGGGATTGATTGATTAGCCACAGATAATGTCAATAAATGCTCAACCATTACCAAATTGGTTTCCACAACCCTCATGAATACAACATTATCCATATCTTCAGCTGTCACAATGGCCTTTGCAGAGTGAAAAAATGTGAGCTTTACATATGCACAAATGGAGATTATATAAATGGTTTATTCTTACACTGATTTAGAATATGTAATTCATGTAGTGGTTAATGTAACTTGATGTTTGGTGAGTGTCTCTTAGAGACAAACCAGGAAACAGGAAACTCACCACAGCAGCAAAGTAGATTGGCATCAATGGATGGCAGGCCAGGAAGAAGTCATACAACCGTACAACATGGCGGAAGTCTGACAGGACATGGCCAAACCATGTGATGAGCCAACTGAGAGCAAAGACTGTACCCACCTCAGCCCTTAAAATGACAAGTGATGAGATCAGCTTACGATGACACACAGAACTATTTAGTTTGCCAACTGCTCCACTTAAAGTACTCTATATAGCACCTACAACCAGAAATTTCTACAACTTGCACTTTATATACTTTATATATTTATGATATAATCAGGAACTGAAAATCAAACATGAAGGCCAACTGTAATGGTAACCTTTGGTTGCAGCCTTAATGACGTGGATGCCTTACAACTGAAACTTGAGCAATCATAATTGGATCAGTGTGATGTAAGAGCAGTCACACTTCATTCCTTCACTTAAAACAGCTTTCATTTTATAGTTGTACCTGTTTTAACATTAACCTTAGCTGTTTAAAGGAGACACCGCTGTAGATATGCCAAAGTAGTAAAGGGTCATACTAATGATCATCATTAGTATGATGTACTGTCATTACAACAGACGCTAAAAGATTTTCTGTCTAAAGCAAAAAAAATTACTATTGCATGCACAATTCTTTACTGTAAATTTAAGAAGCTAATATTAAAAGTTGGGTATGCAATCTCAGGCTTGTCATTTAACACGCTAAAAAATAAAAATGCAAGGTTTAACATCCTCTTGTATCCTAATGCAGAACAAAAGCCATTTGGTCTACTTTCACTAGAATAGTAGTGAATCTTACTGTTGCATGAAGTCATGCACCTCAGGGTTGACCCTTTCAATGATGGGCATCAGATAGTTAAGAATGTGTTTTGTGTTGTCCATAGTGGGATCCATGAAGTCCCTGAGAAAGAGAATATGACAGACAGCATTTTTTAATACCTCACAGTATGATTTTTTATTGAAGCACAAAGCAATAAGGACAGACTGTGCATACAAAAAAAAGTGGAAGATTAAGTAGCAGAGAAAATAACCTGCTGTAGATTCATTTGTGTCTGTAATAAGTACCTGAGGTGATGTGTGGAGAGCTTCTCCACTAGAGCAGTTGCAAGACGCTCTCCCACAACTAATAAAAAGGTCACGACAATGTCATGGTATCCTTGGTAGTAGTGCAGCTGGGGATTACGTTGCAGAACTCTGAGGATGATGTCGATTAACTCTTCCTGGAGACCCTCTCTCTGCTCATCTGGCATACCTATGCATGCATAGCCAAAATAGCGCTGTATGAATGTTTGTGTGATTGGATGGATGAGACTTGTTATCGAAAGTGCATTGAGTGCTCAAAAT